TGAGGTAGGAGGACTGTTTGAGCCCAGAAGTTTGAGGTTACAGTGAGATATGATCAGGCCACTGCACACCAGACTGGGTGATAAAGTGAGACTATGTCTCTTAAAAAAAGAAAAGGGGGAAATAAAGTTCACTACATCTTTTATCTAACTGTCCAGTGTCTAGTAAGTAGGCTGAGCCTCTGTCTCTGTAGAATCTGTCACCAAAAATCCAGTTTAAAAGACACAAAATTTTGGTGGCACTAAGCGGCAATGAGCAGAAATAAGCACAGCATTTTTAAAAAATTACAATTACATAAGCAAAGTAAAGCAAACCCTTTGTATTTATTACTTGCAATCAAACAACCAAACGTTTTACCTACAGGTTGTTTGTTTACAAGGGCTGCTGAAGTTGGGGTATAATCCAAATCTTCATCATTGAAGAGTTCTTCAGTACTCATTCCAATTGCTTCTCCCATATTAAGGCCAAGTTTCTTCTGTAATAGTTTTCGTTGGCGTGCTATCCTCTCTTTAGGATCCACTTCACCTTTAAACAGAAAAGAAATACATTTCCTCCAAATCAGTTAGGAAGTTTTCTAATATAAGCAGATCAGACTCCATTAAAACAAAAAAGAAAGAACTTCTAAAACACCTCTTCTGCCACCAATAAAACAAGCCACACTCACAGTAATCTCTGATCATTCCATAAACTCTATTACCTAATTATGATTCGAAATTAGTGTTCTAGCTAACAAAATATTCTAGGAGATTTTACTGCAATTCCTCCATGTATTCCCAGAGCAGTACAAAGTACTCAATCTAAAGAACAAAGAGGGAAAAAAAAGATTTAAAGAAACAAAAACTCAAATATGAAATTAAGAAAACAGTTTAATTTACAATAGTAACAAAAAAAAAACTTAAAACTTGTACTGTTAAAACTATATAAAATATTGAGGAAAAAATTAAAGATCTAAATAAATGAAGAGACATTCTATATTCACATATCATAAGATTAAATATTGTTAAGACACTGCTATTTCCCAAGTTGATATACAGATTCAACCCAACTGCTATCAAAATCCTAGCTGGCACTTTTTTTTGCAGACATTGACAAACTGATTCTAAAATTCATATGGAAATGCAACAGACCCAGAATAGCCAAACCAATCTTGAAGAATCAACATTGTTAAAATGTCCATACTGCCCAAAGTGATGTATAGAGTCAATGCAATTCCCATCAAAGTACCAACATCATTTTTCATAGATCAAGAAAAAACAATCCTAAACTTCATATGGAACCAAAAAAGAGCCTGAATAGCCAAAGCAAGCCTAAGCAAAAAGAACAAATCTGGAAGCATCACACTATCTGACTTCAAATTATACTACAAGGCTATAGTAACCAAAGCAGCATGGTACTGGTATAAAGGTAAACACACAGATCAAAGCAACAGAACAGAGAATCCAGAAATAAAGTCATATGGCTACAACCAACTGATTTTCAACAAAGCAGACAAAAACATACACCGAGGAAAGGACACCCTATTCCATAAATGGTGTTGGGAAAACTGGATAGCTACGTGCAGAAGAATGAAACTGGATTCCTATCTCTCCATCATATACAAAAATTAACTCGAGACGGATTAAAGATTTAATGTAAGACCTGAAACCATAAGAAGTCTAGAAGAAAACATAGGAAAAACTCCTCTGGACATTGGCCTAGGCAAAGAATTTATGACTAAGACCCCAAAAGCAAAGACAGCTACAAAAAAATAAATAAATAGGACTTAATTAAACTAAAAACTTTCCGCACAGCAAAGGAAATAAATGAACAATAAACAGACAACCTACAAAAGGGTGAAAATATTTGCATACTACACATCAGACAAAGGGAGGGCTAACATCCAGAATCTACAAAGAGCTCAAACAAATTAGCAAGAAAAAAACAAATAATCCCATCAAAAAGTGGCAAAAGACATGAACAGATTTTTTTCAAAAGAAGATAGACAAATGGCCAACATATGAAAAAATGCTCAGCATCACTAATCATCAGGGAAATGCAAATTAAAACCACAATGAGATACCACCTTACCCCTGTCAGAATGGCCATTGCTAAAAAGTCAAAAAACAATAGACGCTGGCACGGATGTAGTGAAGAGGGAACGCTTATGCACTGCTGGTGGGAATGTAAACTACACGACATCAATGGAAAAAAGTATGGAAATTCCTTAAAGAACTAAAAGTAGACCTACCACTCAATCCCGCAATCCCACTACTGGTATCTACCCAAAGAAAAAGAAGTCATTTTATGAAAAAGACACCTGCACCCAAATGTTTATGGCAGCACAATTCACAATTGCAAAGACATAGAATCAACCTAAGTGTCCATCAACTGATGAGTGGATAAAGAAAATGTGGTATATATATATACATATATACTATAGAGTACCACCCAGCCATAAGAAGGAATGAAATAATGTCTTTTGCAGCAACTTGGATGAAATTGGAGATCATTATCCCAAGTGAAGTATCTCAGGAATGGAAAAACAAATACCACATATTCTCACTTATAAGTGGGAGCTAAAAGAGAGGTATATATGGTCATAAAGTGTAATGGACATTGAAGACT